CCCTGATTTCTTTCCTTCACTACCCCTCACTCAAGAGCTCTCATCTAGATTCTCAGAGCAAAGCCTAGCTGTTTCTTCAAGTCTTGGTTTCCTATGGGGCAAGGAACCTCATTTGTCAATTATCCAAGAGCAGGAGGTCCCATCAAAGGAAGACCAGAGAGACCAGCTTCATGTCCCATTTTTCTCCTGTGGGAATCAGGGTTGAGCTGAGGGCTCAGCTTACGCTTGCTCACTGGTCCCAAGGAGCCCCAGGGCTGGGGTCCCTGGTACCTTTCTGTGCCCTAATAGCTCACATCCACATCCACACATGCTGGCAATGCTGCCTCTCACACTTAGTGCCTGCCCTGCTCTCCAGCTCAGCCTGCCTGTGTGTACACTCACAGCCCCTTCCAGATGGAAGAAATCCCTTCCCTGAGTGGCTCTCTGGCTCTGTGCCCTGGCCCACCTGCTTCTACCTCCTTCCTAACTGGAAGGTAGTTGGTTGAGATGGGCTGTTGGGACAGGGAGGCGGGGCAGGGAAGTGCAGGGAGGCCAGCACAACAGGGGCCTGCAACACCATCTTCCTGATGAAAGTCTGGGCCTCAGCCCACCCATTCCCTCAGTTCTTGCCATCCGTCCTGCCTGTCCTGGGCCCAGGCCCAGAGCTGGCTTGCTGGGCCACACTGCAGTCATGCTGTTTTTGAATTCTCTCTCTGTTTTGTTCTCTGTTCTGTGCTGTTGTGTCTCCCCGTGTCTGGTCCCCAGGATCCGGCGCTAAGAAACAGGGCGAGGACTTAGCGGATAATGACGGGGATGAAGATGAAGGTATTTGGGGGCTGCAGGGCGTGGCGGCTGGTGCATGGCACAGAGCCCCTCCCCCTCTCAATGGGGAGAAGCCCCGTCTGTCTGTCTGTCCGTCCGTTGGTGTGTTTCTGTTTCTGTACAAGGCCATTGGGCTGTTCATTCATCTTTGGCCTGGTTGGCCATTGGGAGTTCCAGGGTGATGGACATGCTGGTGGGAGCAGGAGACGACAAGCAGAGCCATGGGGAGGGCATCCTCCTCACCCCGGTTTCCCACCCATTCTCAGTCCTATAGTAGTAAGCTGGAGACAGCTTCCTCCTCATCTTCTGTGATTCATGGGCACCTGCCCCTACTGAGCAGCAGGGAGAGTGGAGAGAAAGCAGGGCTGAGGGAGGGTGAGGAGATGCCTGTGTTGTGGGGAGACTGGCTCCTGGGAGAGGGGCCCAGCAGGATGTTGAACAGAGGAGTGAGGCAGTGACAACCAAAGGGGCTGGAGAATAGCCCCAGCTAAAACCTCCCCAGCCTTCTCTTAGCAGAAGGACTGGGGGCTAAAGCTCCGGGCTGAGGCTGGGACACCACAGCTCAGTTAGTGGATGGCGTAAGATCCTTGAGTGATGGCTGAACCAGTCCTCCTTCCTCCTTGTGAAAACAGGGTACGTTTGCTCAGCAGCAGAGAGCTTTCCCTTCTACCTCTGGTACCCTGCCCCCTCACCCCCGGAGGGGCCAGACAGTTCAGGGGGTCCGTTGGTGGCTACTAGGGTTGTGCTGGTGTGGCTGAGTGTTGAGAGGCTGCAGGTAGAGGTGATCAGGCCAGGAGGCTCCTCCTGAATGCCCATCCCATCCCTGCCCCTGTCTGCTGAGACTGGGGAACAGCCACTTGAAGGTCCCTCATTGTATGGCCTCTGGGAGGCTCCATCTTCATTCTAATGCTGACGGGGGCCAGATCTCTCAGTCTTAGTTCTGTCCTTTCCTCTTCCACATCCCCAATGGCTCCGGATAAATCTGCCTGATGTCCTGGGAGAATGGGGTAAATGAGAAACCATGTCACTAAGGGTCCCCTATCCCATCTCTGCCATTCACTCCCCTTTCCCCATATTCTTCCTTGTTCTCTCCCTGTGCT